ATTGTGTTGCATAGGACACTAGTAGCTTTCCTACCCTTCTACTAGGGTAGAAATGGCAAACAGGCAGGTCGGATCGGATATGGTTCGTGTCGAAATTGGGTAATGAAAAAAGGGATCAATTACTCGACCCGACCCATATTTAATACGGATAAAAACCGGGTTAACCGGCGGATAATATGGATAACCATATTATCCATGACTGTATGATCACTTTTGGGAGAATTCTTAGTCTCTCTAACTTGAGGAACCCCCAATTTGAGACTTTATGAATGTAAAAGTTAGACCCATTGGTTATCCATTTGTTACTCATTGGTTATCCATTTTCTAAATGGATAATATGGTTCTTGTCCATATTTGACCCGTTTTTAAAAAGTTCATTATCCAACCCATTTTTCAGTGGATAATATGGGTGGTTAACTGTTTTCTTTTAACCATTTTGCCACCCCTATACTAGGTTAACTAACAAGTGTCTAGCGGATGTAAAATTTATCTTGTACTCAGTCAAATAATGTATAGAAAGATGTAAATCTCACATAGATTTGGTTATTTACTCTATTGTTATTTCTTGTTTTAATTACTATTGAGAGAATCTGAAAATTAGAGTTGTAAGTTAACTAACTAAAAATGCATTGACAAAATAATAGAGAAATATTTATATTTTTTACAAATATGATAATTAAAAAGGTATTGGGGTCCTTACTTTACTTAATATTTCTATTATATACCATATATATTTATTCTTTAATTTATTTCTTACTAATGTATAAATGTCTCTCGCAATTATATTTATATATTACTACTTAATTCAACAATTAATGGTGCTCCTCTCGGTTATACAAATTAATCATTAAAATTATAATATTAAAAAGACATAAATACGTGCTTGAACTAAAATACTCTTTGTATTAAGTCCATTTCTGTTACCCTACTTGTTATAACTGATTACTATACTATTCGCATCTCTCGGTAATTAAGTGTAGAATTAATTATAACATAAATAAACATATGTTGCTAATAAATATTAACATCTAATAATACCACTATTAACTATATTGTTTCTTCCGCCTCTCTCGACTATAGAATTAGTAAAAAAGTAATATATAGTATAAAATAAATGGATGTTAATAAATCAACAACATTTAACTGTAAAACAGATAAAAGTCAAATAGAAAGCTTCAAATCAAGCAAGTGAAATTGAGAAATAATATTTATTATATAAAAATATAATAATAAAGCCACTATAATAGCTAAAAGAAGAAAAAATATTTACAAAAGCAAAAATTTAGATATGGAGCTATTTATAGCAAATTCCGACAACTACTTTCTTGTTTGAGCAACTTTTTCCTCAAAGTTGCCAACTAGCAAATGCTTGTTGATTTAGAAAAGCTTTTCTCTTCAACCTCAACTCCAATTGACAAATTGCGACTTCATGTTTTGAAATGGTGATGAGTTCCAAAATTAATTCGATGTCGTCTTATAAAAAATGTGTTTATGCAATCAGATAAATGATAAGTAGAAAATTCGAAAATTATAGTAGCATAAAGCAAAACCAGTAAAGTTAAGTTGGGTAAGGACCTAATACAATACGTTAGATGTATTTCTTTACTAATGTAGTACACCCAATATGTTTTTTAAATTAAAGTAGTCTTTCTCGTCTTTTAGATGAAGGCAATAACTGAGATATTAAAGCTACTGCATAATTGGATGCTATTTACTTAAAACTTTCAGAATGTAGCATACTCACTAAGACATGGATTAGCTTAGTTGCTCTATTGTGAAGAAATGTGTGTTAACAGAAGATTTCAGAATTCTTCGATAATTTCTTAAGTATTAGTACTTGTGATTAATATTTCATAATATAAGTGTATACGGTAGAAATCGGGGCTACCTGATTTCATTCTTTGTTCGAGGTAGGAATGTCACGTTAAAGATCTAGGACGTCGAGTCCAGACCGAGGTCGTCGACATCAGTTGCGGCCAGAAAGAAACAGACTTCGAGTGACATCGGATAGCTTGATAACGGAAAAGGCGAGATATCGACGATTGGTCGAGGATCGTGGCGTGAATCTCGGAACGGATCAAGCTATGGCGGTTAATCAGATGTTAATATGGTTTCCTACCATAATTAAAAGTGTGTCTTATTTAGGACTCCTCTATTATATAAAGAGGGATCCCATTCATTTGTAAGCATGATCATTGTTCATTAACAAAAATATATACACTCATTAGTTCCTGCTATTTCACTTATTGTTCATCAGAGTTGCTTTATCATTTACTATTCTTACTATTCCACCTCGAGACTATCCAAAGTCGAGGTCGAGACTTGGCTAGCATACTGGTTTGATTTATTGTATTCTCTAATTTATTCATTTATTTTCTCGCTTATCAATTAGTATTGGACGAAATCACATATCCTTAAAACCACAATATATATATTATCCGAATTGAGGGAAACAATACGAAAATAACAGGATTAGTGGCCATAAAATTAGCAAGTTCTAATGAACCGTAACATTCTCCAAAAGTTAAGAGAATCGAGCATGACATCAAATTTTTTTTCTCTTATAGTAATACTTTTAAATAATTACAATCTTTTTAAATTTTTTTATTTATTAATGTTAATTCATTTATTTTTGGCTCTAAAAGTTCAACTTATTAATGCTCTATATTTGTCCCGGAAAAAATGACATCTTTAGGGGTCGTTTGTACAAGGATAAGGATATTAATCACATGATAAAATTTAGAATTATATTTATCTCATATATATATATATATATATATATATATATATATATATATATATATATATATGGTTATAGGTATTAGCTCATCCCGAAATAAATTTTATACTAAAATGATAAAATTAGCTTCATATAAAAGATGGGATAGCTAATCATATGGCTATCTTACCCCATGGATATTCTGATTTATCACCATTATACCGAACAAACCCTTAGGGGTTGTTTGGTAAGCAAACCAAATTATCCCGGGATTATAATCCTGGAATTATTACTAGACTAATCTATCCCACCTCGGAGGTGGAATAAAATAATTTCAAGTTTGATTAGTTAAGATGGGATATCCAAGGCTAAATCTAGAAATAAATTTATACTCTATTTGGTTAACGATATAATTTTATTTTCGGATAAATTTATACTACCAACCAAATAAAATTCATCCCATATCTTATTCCACGTTATCCCACATACCAAACAATCCCTAGGGGTTATTTGGTTGGAAAATAAGTTATCCCATGAATTAAGAGATTATTATATTCCTACGCCATATTATAAACTATATTACCCTAAATGTTCATGTTTAGTAAATTACTTTACCTACACAAATTTTGTTTACAAAATATATATATTCCACTTTAAAAGGCTCCCAATCCATTATTAGTGCCTTCAATTAAGGGCCCAATAAAACGAGAACTTGCCTTGGTAACCCAAGTACTTCCACCAGGGTTCAGCCAACTGTTTTGGTAGAATGGGAAGTTACAGAAACTAATTACAGGGCTCCACGTTAGCTCCTTGAGAACCAATTCCAACAAAAGAAAAATGCACCTGAAAGCAAAAATGCACCTGCCTAAAGTGGGATTCTTAGGGAGTGGCTTTCCCTACAACTTCATACAACTTTATAAATTCATACAATTAATTGTATAGTATTATATAATTTATCTCCAACTTTCACACATTATTTCTATCTATTTAAATACAACTATAATAACATACAACTTAAATACAAATTTTATACAAAATTTATACAATATGCTTTTGTATATTTTGTATCTGATTTATACATAGTAAAAACAAATTTCATACAACTAACTATATATTATACAACTTATCTATAATTTTCGTACATTATTTCTATTCAGTTATATACAACTACAATATAATAACACTTAAATACAATTTTTATATAATGTTGTTCAACTTTCATACAATAGTTAAATGAATAAAAGAAAAATAAATAAACAACAGAATACAATTTTTCTACAATTTCTGCAATATAATGTATGTTATGTCTTCTCCTTCTTCTTCGAGTTTCAATCTAAAATTCAACCAAAACCAAGTCTAATCTTCACCAAAACCCCTCAAAATTGAGATATAAACTCCAAACTATATTCTTAATTATTTGCAACAACACCCAATCCAAATAAATAATGATTTTTGAAAACCCAAATTCGAATTCAAAGCTTCAAAGCTTTTTAATGGTTGTCAATGGTAGAATTGCTGCTCTCTTTTCCTTTGCTTTATATTACTGAAATTTGAGACTGAGAGATAGAGAGAGATGTAGAGAGAATTCTCAATTCTTTGCAACAACATCCAATCCAAACAAACAATGTCTTTTGAAAACCCAAATTCGAATTCAAAGCTTCAAAGCTTTTTAATGGTTGTTAATGGTGGAGGTGTAACAGATTTTCGCTGGTTTTAGAAGAGGAAATAGTGGGCGATTGAAGAGGAAATCGTGGGGTGTGGTTTGATACGTGGGTGAGGGGGTGGGATTTGGAGAGAGAAACTTGGGGGGAGTGGAAATATACGGTAAAGTTAAATTAGGAGACTAATTAATACCATTAAAATCCCTAAAATGTACATAAATGGTAATTAGGTATATAAAAGGTAATTATATTAAAAGTTAAGCATGGAGGGTAATATAGTTTACTATATGACATAGGAATGTAAAAATCCCATTAATTATTCTTGGATTAGTTATAGGATAAAAAATATTACAATTTCGGAATAACTAATTCCAAATTATTACACCATAATTTTATTCCAATTAAATATGAGATAAATTCAAATTTAAGATCTCATATCACTGGTACCAAACATGCCCTGATGTTTCATTTTAGTTTAAGTGGAAACTGTCCCTATTCGTCGGGAGAATAGGACACATTTGACCGTACGTGTCATAAGCAGCACAAAACTGTCGCGAGCCGCTCATGCATAGGCTCCACACTTGTCACCTTTTACAAACTCCATGGCTCTTACACATACTTGCCACGAATTTCCCGAGTCCTCTCTCTGTATTTCAATCTTCCTTCTTCTGTACGTGCATCTCTTGATTTCAGAATCTTGAAGTTGAAGGGTAATATACATAGTGTGTGTGGACAGAAAATTTGGAAAGTGGAGAGTGAGAACAGATGGCAGCAACGACAATAACAGCAGGTGGAATGGAGAGGAATCCAGCATTGATGCCAGAGGCCTCTCTTGCTCCAGTGACTATAGAACGGAAAGTTAGAACTGATTTGGAAACTTCTATTCCTAAGCCTTGTAAGTTTCCTTCTTCTTTTTTTACTTTTTGGTTTCCTATGTATATGAATCTAAGATCTTTTACTTCAATTCTAGTTGAAAACTTTGATTTGATTGGAAAACTTAAAACAAAAAAAGATAGTCCAATGCACAATGCTTCTCCCACGGGTAAGCAGGGGTGGATGCACCTTGAACGAAGCGGTGTCATCGTCGTAAAATTTTACTAAAGTATATGTATTAATACCGTAAGGAAACGGATAACTGAAAAAAATGACATTGCTTAGCATTAGTTGTCTCTAGGGGTGTTCATGGTTCGGTTTGCATCGGTTTTTCCCTGAAAAAAGAAACCAAATCAAGTAAGTCGGTTTTTCAAATATTACAATCAAACCAAACCTTTTAAAGTCAGTTTTTTCTCGATTCGGTTTATGTCGGTTTTGTCGGTTTTTCGGTTATTAGTCGATTTTTTCTTAAATATGAGACATACACTACCAAGCACATATTCCGGCGACCACATTTTCAACGTAACACTATCAAATCAATTGTCCTTTGAGAAATCTATTATCTATCAAGATATATTGGTGATAATTGAATCAAATAGTGATGAATAATTTAAGGACTCAATTAAAAATATATTATTTTTAACACGAAATAGATTCTTACACGTAACAAAAGAAAACTACCAATCAAACTAGAATGTAAAGATAAATAACTATACTAAAAGTGCAAACTATTAATATTTACCATTAAATTTTTGAAACTTTGTATAAAAATACACATATATATAGGTGTAATAATAAATTTGAAATAGCTACTCCTATAGTCGGTTTGGTGCAGGTTTTTTTCGGTTTTTTCTGATTAAAACCAAAACCAAACCAAATTTGATCAGTTTTTAAAATTCAAAACCGAAACCAAACCAAACCAAAAAGTATCGATTTTTTTGGTCGGTTTGGTTTGGTTTTCGGTTTGGTTCGGTTTTTCGGATTTTTATGAAAACCCTTAGTTGTCTCTTGTTGTGTTGGTTATTTGCTTGATTTTGCTCTAAGAGGTCAAAGGCTCAAACCTCATACATTTTGTTTTTGTAAATATTCGAGAGCCTATAAGACTCAAAACCAATATACCATGGCTATTTCTTATTTAGAAATATGATAATTAAAATTATTATTCTTGTTTTTTTATAAATTTCGACACCGCTTACAAAAAATCATGCGTACGCCCCTAGGCGTAAGAGCATTCAGCGCTCGTCGGGCCCGAGGAGGGCTGCGCCAAAGGGATGTGACATAGACAGCCTATCCCAATACAAGCATTAGTTGGCTGCTTTCATGGCTCGAATCCCCTAATAGGTCACATGGAGACAATTTTAACGTTGCTCTTAGGCTAGATATGAAAGGGATATATTTCCTTTTTTTTCTTTCTTTAGAGCTCAACTGTTGTTATATTTGCGTGTTGTAGTACTCGATCTGCTTATCGAGCTTACTGATCTAGAATAAGGTGGTTGATGACTCTTTAGTTATAAAGTTTAACTTTAATTTTCTATGCTGACAGCGAATGATTACCAATAAGTGGAGCGAGTAATCTGTAAAAGGAGAAAAAGATAGATCAGCTTGTACAATAGGTGACTTTCGCTAAAACATCCTCTTCCTTTGAAGATAGACCGGAAAGCAAGCTTAGAGAATAGTTAAATGGGAATGTTGCAAAGTGTAGAATTGGGGAAAAAATTGTAGTTGTGTGCAGGTATTTGTTGATCCAAATGTAAGTAATTACAGCAGTTTAGATCAATAGTAGTGTTGATTGCAGTAGCAAATAAGACTTCTTGGATTAGTCCTAGCACATTGTGTGTATGTTTCCTATTGAAAGTGGATATATTTGCAAGTTATGTTTCAGGTCTTGAACATTTCATGAAGATATTATTTGGTTGGTTGTCGACTGTTATTAGTTTGCACCTAAACTTGCGCGTTTCTTTATAGTGAGTAAATTTTAGTTGATATGGGCATAACCCTTTATAGCTGCTGGTAATGCGCGTGACTAGTAATGTAGAATTAAAAGTACGCTGAATGGTACTCCCTCCGTCCCAATTTATGTGAATGTGTTTGACCAGGCACGGAGTTCAAGAAATATGGGAAGACTTTTGAAACTTGTGGTCTAAAACAAATCATAGATTGTATGGCTAGAAATTATCTGATTAAGGGTAAATAGGAAAATTTAAAGTAGAATTGTTACCAAATATAGAAAGGTGTATTCTTTTTTAGACTGACTAAAAAGGAAAATGTGTAACGAGTAGTACATTAGGCAGAAAGGTATCTTGTACTGAATTCTATTAGTGTGTGCATCATCTTCCCTTGGACCAAGACTTCTGAAAATTAAGCACATGAATTTTGTGGTTGAAAATATTAAGGTGATGGTTGAAAAAATCTTAAGCTAAACTGCCAACCTTTTCTCTTTCTTTCAGAAAAAGTGTAAAAAACATTGAGTAGTTTAATGAATTTGAAGTCTTGAAAGTTCTCAAAGTTGTATACAAATGCAATGCTGCTACTCCAGGGAGGTCGATCAAGGTGAAATAAAGTGAAAAAAGAAGATGGTATCTGAACCAGGTCGGCGATGATGACCCGTCGTCTTGGTCTCTAGTCAAAGGCACATTAGACAATAAATAAGATGTAGAAGAAGAGTGATACGATAGGATGTTTTAAAGCGGGCGGTTATTTCTTTCTTACTTTATCATTTGGAGTTCAATTTATCCTTCGGCAAAGTTCTCTGACGGGAGTTATCTTAAAGAGAGTGTCATATAGGTTACCCAAAAAAGTGTAATATAATTTACGCGGATGTAGTAGCTGAAAAGATAAAAATGGCAGTAGATTATGTATAAATTGATGACACAATAAATTGGATTAGTTCCAAGTGCCGGTATCCATTCCATTGGTTCTACTACCAATGAGAATCTGACTTCACGAGGAATATTTGAAGATTAGCTATGATTAGAAATCGACTTTGTATCCCTGTATAGATTATTCAGAGTCGAATTATGACAGCTGGTCAACCTAAAGGTATTAACTATAACAAGCGTGTTGTTCATGTAGATAACTGCACATTCATTGAGAGTGTTTTATCTGTGAAGTCGAATGAATTGTTGTGGTATAGCCTCAGTATTGAAGTGTTGATGCTCAAATTTGTGGCTTCTTGTGCAGTTGTCACTTGGTGGTTCATTATTAAATTGAATGGATGCAAGTTTTGCTAGTGTTCGTTATCCTTTTTTCTTTTGTTTTTTTGAAATTTGTACAATAGTGGCCTTCTTACGACACTTAAAATATTCAGATATGGCTAGAGGATTGGTCGCTCCGGATATGGAGCACCCCAACGGAACTCCTGGCCACAGGCACAACGGCATGAGTGTTCTTCAGCAGCATGCAGCCTTCTTCGACCAGGATGATGATGGCATCATTTATCCATGGGAAACGTACACCGGTAAGTTATCATTGTAGTCTGTAATTCTTGTAAAGGCAGAATAATTTCCAGGAGGGTAGTTGCTTAATGGCATGATACAATTTTGTTTTGAAGTATAATTTCGTCACTTTGTTCGCATCAATATTTTAATATCGATCAGAACCATTAGCTCGTATAACCTTGTCAATGTTTGATTTTTCTTCTCCTTTCTACTCGCTTTGAACAGGATTCCGTCACCTTGGTTTCAACATGATTGGTTCGTTTATAATGGCCATTGTCATCCATTCTGCTATGAGTTATCCTACTCTCCCGGTAAGTCAAAGCAGAGTTACTTAATACTTGTAGTCATAACAATTGAAAATCAGAACTATGCTTGGTTGTTTACCTACTCTGCTAGTTGTCGGTTTTTATGTTTTCTCTCTGTTAATAACGCACTGTAACCAGGGGTGGTTTCCGTCGCCTTTACTTCCGATATATATTCATAATATACACAAGTGCAAGCATGGAAGTGATTCCGGGACCTACGACAGAGAAGGCAGGCAAGTATACTAGTCATCAATCTGAAATCATATTACGAACTTCATGAACTTGTACTCATTCTGCAGTTTTCCCCTTAGATATCTACCTGTGCACTTTGAAAACATCTTTAGCAAGTACGCTCGGACCGTGCCGGATAAGCTTACTCTTGGAGAATTGTGGGATATGACTCAGGCTAATAGAGAAGTATTTGATTTCTTTGGCTGGTAAGGTTCCAAACACATAGTTGCTCCATTTTGTTTCTTTATGTTTGTGTATATGTAGTTGCTTTAACCATTTGATCATCTTTTGCTTCAATTTGAAGGATTGCCACCAAAATGGAGTGGGGAATTTTGTATCTCCTTGCTAAAGATGAAGATGGTTTCTTATCTAAAGAAGCAATAAGACGTTGCTTCGATGGGAGTTTGTTCGACTATTGTGCCAAGGTACAAACCGGAGGTGACTACGCGAAGCAAGAATAGTTTCGATTGCATGTGTAGACGTAGTAATCTGAGAACTAGTCTTGAAACTCGTATATTTGCATACGATGTTTAATCGTTTTCTTTAGTTAAGCAACTATGCAATGTATCCAGAATTATATTGCACAACTGTTTTTGAAATTCCAGTTTGATAGATTGGAGATACCCCTATAATTAAAAGGAGACATTTGTGATTGTTTCTTTCTTGAATTTTGAAAGTTTTGCTATTATCACATATGCAATAGGCAGAGTTTCTTGTAATTTATTTGTTTGCTTTTGAGTTTCAACTTTCAATTGTGCATATATGTGTTGAGATATACTAAAAAGGAGTTGCAGAAACAAAGCAGGAAAGTATGGCTTGTGTAGAAAGGCTTCCAAGAACAGTGAGTTGCTCATGTGATCTATAGTTTTTGTTGTGATTACAAATAAATTGTATGTTAAATAACTTGCAAAATTAGGCAACTTATTACAAACTTGTTAAGCTATTGTGGTCTGGTCCTGTCCTTTCCCGGACCTCGCGCATAGCGGGATTGGGCCGTCCTTTTTCGGATCTAAACTAGATTAGATCAACTTAATAATTTAAAATATTTTAAAATTAAAATTAAAATATTCAAAAATATACAAAAGTATTATAAGTTGGACCTCGCGCATAGCGGGATTGGGCTGTTCTTTTTCGGATCTAAATTAGATTAGATCAACTTAATTATTTAAAATATTTTAAAATTAAAATTAAAATATTCAAAAATATACAAAAAGTATTATAAGTTGGACCTCGTGCATAGCGGGATTGGGCTGTCCTTTTCCGGATCTAAATTAGATTAGATCAACTTAATAATTTAAATATTTTAAAATTAATATTAAAATATTCAAAAATATACGAAAAGTATTATAAGTTGTAATTTTTTTTATTTCAATATAATGAAAAAACAAATTAGTTGTCATGGAAAGTCAATTTGACTAATTTTTCGCAATTAAATTAGATTAGATCAACTTTATAATTTAAATATTTTAAAATTAAATCTACAGAGGAGAAGAATTATCATTATTTTCCGTCCATCTCCATTCTTAAATGTGCAGATGCTACTTAGGGTTGGGTAGTGGTTGACCATTGTTAGGTCCAATAATTGCCATAAAGAATGGACAAATCAATCTTGAAATTCACTACTCCCTCCGGTTCAAAATAAGTAATTTTTTGTCATTTTCTCACATATTAAGAAACTCACCTTTTAACATTAATTAGCATTGCAATTGTCTATATTAACCTTTATTATCTCTTCACATAAACACTCCTAACACATACTCCAACATTATTTACTCCAAGGGCAATGTAGGAAAAAAGTAATTAATTCATTCTTGAAATTTGAAAAAATCACTTATTTTGGACCACAAATAAAAGGCCAAAAAATCACTTATTGTGGACCGGATGGAATATTATTTAGTGCAAAATTAACAACAAAATTATCAAGTTGCTTCAGAAATTATTTCCATTAAAAACACCACATCACAAAAAATAAAATAAGATCACATAAATAAATCATGCTTTTTCCTCACAAAGTCATGACAAATTCACAAGTGAAAGAAACAAATTATGATCCAAATCAAGCAACATAATATAATGGATTTGGTAGTTTGAATGTTCTTTTTGCACTTGGAAGTCCCTCAATGCTACTCCATTGATCTCCAACAATTCCCAAAATTCTATAGCCATTGCTTATTAGTTTACTCCTTACCTCAGCCTTAAAACCTTGAGCACTTTTGCATTCATCTTCTTGACCCCTAAAATATTCAATAACACAAAAAAAAAAAAAAACATTAAAATAGGTAACAGAATCACTTAAATTATGTCTTAACAACAAATCAATTAAATTGGTAACAAATTGCAAACCTTAGTATGAGGCTAGTCCATCCATAGAAACCAACATGGACCAGATTGTCAATGGTAGGAGATCTAAGATGTTCTTTTCTTGAAGAAACAAGAAAGATGTTAACTCCAAGTTCTTTAAGATGATTGAACAACTTCATGGAATGATCTAATGCTGTTCCTTTTCCTTGGCTTATCCAATCTTCCAAAGATGTCACATTCAACTTATTTCCCCTGTTCCACCAAAAAAAATATTAGCAACAATGAAAATCCCATATAGTAATTTTGATAATTAAGTTACATGCACTGACTATGTAATTTAACGGACTAAAAAGGGGCAGTGTGGTGCACGAAGCATCCTGCATCCACGTATGGTCTTAGGAAGGGTCACACCCCCAAGGGGTGTGGTGTAGACAACTTTTCCTGATGCACGTATCCGTGGCTGATTCCACACGGCTCGAACCCATGACCTATAAGTCACACGAAGACAACTTTACCGTTGCTCCAAGGGGTGTGATGTAGACAGTTTACCCTGATGCATGCATCATTGGCTGATTCCACGGCTCGAACCCATGACCTATAGGTCACACGGAGACAACTTTCCCATTGTTCCAAGGCTTCCCTTCGTAATTTAACTAACTATAACAGGTTATAACTCTATTTTCTAGATTGCCACACAATGAGTATATAGAATTTATACACACTCTTTCCTAAAAAGAAATATGAGAAAGAAAACTTACCCAAAGCCATTTTGCTTGTAGTAAGGAACAGTGGAAAGAAGGGTGTCATCAATGTCAAAAATCCAAGCATCTTTACGATCTTTTCCCAAAATACAGTTAGTACTAAGATGAAATATGCATTCATCAATTGTTCTTTCAGAATCCACTTTGTATTGAGTTGAAGTCATGTATTTTGCAATATAGGAAACACATTCTTGAGGTATAACAACATAGTCTTTAATGTTGTGCAACTCAACATTCATTCTCCAACTTTCACAATAATTCTTGAGACTGATTTTAAGACCACTGTTGGTGGTTTTGTACTCTTTCAAGATGTTCCAATCTGCAAGAGATGAAGTTAAGAGAATGCAAAATATTGCAAAGAAAATTCCAAGTTTTCTTGCCATTTTCTTTAGGGAGAAATTAAGAAAGAGTTGAAGAAATTGATGAGAAAGTTGAGGTTTTTAGTTCATTTTGTGTAGCTACTTATTGTGGAGAGAGTGAGAAATTAAAATAAAAGGTCACATGGGGTGATGAGAATTAGTTGTCACCATGTATGCTGCTGTCTCAAAAAAAAAAATCTATGGTGTGGCATATTGATTAATAAAACATTGAATTGTCTTATTCTACAATATTTTACATTTTTTGGTTTTGGTTAAGTACAACTAATTAGATCATGAAAATGGAATTTGATTTCTTTGTATTTTGTTCACACTAGCAGTCTAGCACCACCTTATATCATCAATTACATCTCCAAGAGTGTCATTTGACTTTACAAAAAAATCATAAATATATAAAACAATTTTTTTTCTAAATAAGTATATGTATATACTACACACATCATTTGAAAAGTAATACCACATCAATATTAATTTGGGATAGAAAGTAAAGTGTTTGAACTCTCATTACCCACGTACATTGTAGTCGTGTCAATAAATTAGTATCAGTTGTCCATTGATCGTATCAAAATATTAGAGAGATTACTATTACGAAAGCTCTGTGAAAGTCTTTAAATTTTAAATATCGACATTTATTGACTTAAAGTTTGTTGGAAAAATATTGGATGATTATGGAGAATAGAAGGTTTAGCTTGAGGCGTGTCAAAGATACTATCCTTAAGGATATTTCGCCTACACCGTAATGAATAAAATTAGGCGTATCCCCCAGGATTCAACAAGCTCTTCTAGTATAAATTAGGAGCAGAAACAACAAAGATTGAATAAAAGAAAACCCAGCACAAAAGAAAAGGGAAGAAAAGTTTTAACTTTGTTCACTCTACTACCCAAAGTAACACATAGGAAAATATATATATAATCTAAAGATTTTAACTTCAGATTGTAAGCAAAGTTTTAAAAATTATTAAATGTCATTCAAAGGCTATTGAAATGGCTGTTACAAATTAAAGCCATTAAGGCTAATAAAAAGTTAGTTATAATATTATAATAATGACTATTAATCATGGGTAGTAAATGATAATGAATATGTTAAATTTTATTTTTGAGATATAAGAATTATCTTCTAACAATCCCCCACATATCTCAAAAATAATATCACAAAATAAAATAAAATAAGAAATTTTGCTGGGTTTTCACAAATGAGCATAATGCGTCGAATCTGGTGTCTCTTGGACTATGAGTCAGACCTAGATAAAATAAGATTAAACTTACAGAACAATTGGTGAAGTTTAAAACTTCTATGAACCAAGAATTCTTTTGTAAGTTTAGTGTCTTATCTATCACATTATACCCACACACACTTTGTTGTTTATCGCGGTTTTTGCGCTAATAGGCCATGTGTCGCGCCTGGTTTTCATGAGTGCTCTAGANCACACACCATAGGAAGAGACATAATTTAATAGTGCATGTTTGATCAACTAATGACTTGTTATTACCCGTATGAACCTACTTCATGGGATCTCCAATCACATAGGTTGGGTTACCATCATTGTTGATACATCTCAATTGGCAAAAGTCTCAACCCCTCGATGTTTCACTTATAAGTCAAAGGATCGGCCAAATCCTCTTTTGACTACACATAGTATGCATAAAAAATTCTCATCTCTAAGCAATTGCTTTATGACATTAGATCTTAAAAAATATGTCTGCTCTTCCCATTGAAAGATTTATTTTTTTACAATGGTTATTGCGCCTTGGCAATCACAATTCATCGACATAATTATTGTCGGTTTAACTCACCAAGAGGTTGCTTAATCAACCTCATCGCCAAATAATTCCAATATCATAACACCCCCATCAAAAGATGATCAAATCACTAGTGAATTTTTCACATCTGAATCAGAGATTCAATATCATCAGTGTATCCTTCTAATACAGTGAAAACAATAGCGGATCCAGGATTTTAAAGTTATGGGTGCTCGCCGATAAAAACTTCAAAAGAAGAGGAAAAATGAATTTACTTATGGGTGCTCGCTCAATATTTATCTAAATATTTGTACAATAGCCTATATAAATTTATTAATATAGTCAAAGTTAATGGGTGCTTAAGCACCCACAACTTCCTATGTGCATCCGCCACGAGTGGAAAATCCACACATAGAATACTAACTCATAATATTTCTCAAGACATAAAATCATCTCAAATGAAATGGAACTTGACTTATGTACAAGTGCCTTTTGAAACATCTTTCAACACATAAGAATTTATTTTCTTTCTCAATCTTTTATAGTCAAGTACCAAAGTAAAATTTTCTAAATATAGAAACAGTTTTAACTTCTACTAAAATATCTCAAATTAGTAGAAAATGGATCATAATTCAACGATTTCTTCACTCAAATGACTAAGAGACAAGTAGCAGCATAAGTTTTCAAAGCCATAAATACAATATATTTTTTATCTTCCAATACAAATTTTTGCCACAAAAAAATCTCAAATTTGTAAGGCTTTATTATAACAGTAATAAATAAATTTTGTTTCTCACTTTTCCCTTCTTATGATCAGGCTATAACACTCTGGACACCCGATCCCCCACATTTTAGAAAATTTCAAGTTAAGGAGATAATATTCTCACAACTCATAAAGGTTTTTACTTGTTTCTCATAAGAAAATCCATTAATTCTATCTAATGCAAGTCAATGCCCTTGATTGGTTTTCTTCAAAAGAAACCAAATAAAACATTTGAAATCCAACGGCACAATAAATTTAACCACATCAATAATAGATAATAACACCAAATGCTTGTTGCAACACTTCTATGTGGTAAATTTATATAATATCTCAATCTTAATACTCAAAATATAATGATATAATCTTAATAAATCTTAATTTACTCTCTTGTGTCCTCGCAAAGCATGCTCTCATTTATTTTAAAATATAAGTTCTCAGTAATTAGGTTGGAGATCATACCAGAATAATATTCATGAGGAACATCAACAACAAATAGTTCCAATGTCTCCAAATAATGGCGTGACTCAAAATTCTTGCCAAGTAGTGACATCTTCTTTCATAAAGTAAAAAGAGTCGAATCGTTTGACACAATGGAGGCAATATGGCAGGTAGAATTATTGTTAAAAGAGCAATCACAAGCAACAAAACTCTCAATTCCTTTAACAATAACTTCAACACTCCAATTCCCTTCTTCACTGCAAGGATCCTTGTTAAAATCCCAATCTCTTTTCCCAAGATTTTTGGCTATCTCTTTCATTGCTTTCACTTCTGCTGGATGGAGCTTGGACTTGGAATTAGTGGCTGCTATAATTAAATTGTAAGCAGTACGAAATACTTGAGAATTTCAGTACTCCATTATAATGAGCATCAGCCAAATATTGCAATCAGTACTCTCCATAAGAATAGAGTGTGACGGTATCTTTAAGATTGTTGGAAAAATATTGGATGATTATGGAGAATAGAAGGTTTAGCTTGAGGCGTGTCAAAGACACTGTCCTTAAGTATATTTCGCCTACACCGTAATGAATAAAATTAGGTGTATCCCCCAGGATTCAACAAGCTCTTCTAGTATAAATTAGGAGCAGAAACAACAAAGATTAAATAAAAGAAAACCCAGCACAAAAGAAAAGTTTTAACTTTGTTCACTCTACTACCCAAAGTAACACATAAGAATTTATATATATATATATATATATATATATATATATATATATATATATATATATATATATATATACTAGTATCTATTTTTTTTTTTTTGATTTAAACNCAAAGGCTATTGAAATGGCTGTTACAAATTAAAGCCATTAAGGCTAATAAAAAGTTAGTTATAATATTATAATAATGACTATTATCATGGATAGTAAATGATAATGAATATGTTATATTTTATTTTTGAGATATAATATCTTCTAACAAAGTTTACAAAAACAAGCAATTAATTTTTTTTTTACTATTAGCAAGAAATATCTACAATAAAGAAGTGTCAAATAATTACTCCAATATAAAATTTAAAAAAAAAAAAAAAGAAACAACGCCGTAAATCCAACCAATAAAAAGTTGGATTCTTAGAAATAATTGCCAAGTGGGTGCCACGTTCCTTGCCTTGTCAACGTACAGCTATATCACATGGAGTCAAACCTAATCGACCAACACCTGTATAATTTATTGCTATATATAAAATTGTTGTATTGACTGTCATATAAAATAAAATAAAATTCAGAGCTAATAATTTTCTTAAGTAAACTAATCCTATATACCGTAAGGGGTCATTTAGTAGAATGTATTAGAGAAAATAATATATGTATTTAGTTGAGTGTTAATAATTTCTTGTTTTGTAATGTTTTTCAACTTATGTATAATTAATGTCTGTTTTAGTTATACACTCTATTCAATAATATTTTTATACATATTAAACCTTGGCATTAGTAATAGTATGAATTTTAATAAATAGATAAGTATATATAAAGACAAAACTACCATACTCTATACTACTCTATATTATAGGCAGAATAGCCTAATAGACACCTCTACTTGTCCCGTTTTGTCATCCCGGTCCCTATATTCAAGAGGGTTTCATTCAGGCACTCTTAATTATTAAAACACACTACTTTAAACCCCTCTGACCGTTGACCGAGTATATGTGGCAATTTGATGANATAATGAAGCGTAAATATAAAAAGTTCAAACTAAAAATAATTAAAATAAGAACAAAAAAAGGAAAAGTAAAATATAAAAAAATAAATAATAAAAACAAAATATGTCCCCTTTCTCCATCCCCTCCCCCATTTTTTTTAATATTTCTACCGTTCCCCTTTCCCCTTCTTTCCCCACCCCTCCATCGTTTTCTCCCTTTTTTCCTTTCCAGTTCTTCCCTGTTCTTCGTCCTTTCCATTTTTCTTAAACCTTGAATCAATATTTGAAAAAAAATATTTAAGAACCCTTTTATGAAGAGCAACCAATATTAGTGTTTTAAGATAAATTAGATTGATGGCTATTGTAGTCTTTAATCTGTTTTGGGTAAATTGTCTCATGACTAACGAAATTTCATGTGGTGGAATCGATATTTAATAATGGATTTATTTGATAGAGAGAAGTTGAATATCTAAA